GTTATTAAACATTCGCACATAAATAAGTGACGTCATATTCAGTACTTACTTTTGACAGTTCACTCTTCGGCCGCTCCCTTCTGCCGTATTTTGCGGCAAAATTATCCACACCCACCGCCGCGCTATGAATTGTGGGATATATAGGACCACGAAGCGTGCACCGGACCACGCTTGATATTTGGGGAAATTGACAGCGCATTTGGAGTATGCATTTGAAGTACACTTCGAATTGGGACAGCCGTCGTCGCGTGGTGGTGACGTAATCACACTTAAAATGTGTACTTCAAGCGTGCAGACCCTGAATTGGGACACAGCTATTGTGCCAAAAACCAGCAGAACCTTTCCTCCAGACCTTGGTGTGAGTAGAGCCCTCTGGTGGGCCACCACAAAACTGCAAAAACTGCTGCAGAGCAGATCAGCAGCTGCAGGTGGAGGTGATGGAGTCACGACACAGAAAACATGTGGTCAGCTGATCATTAGCTTTAGTGGGGAGAACTTTGAAAACAGATCTTTGAGACAGATCATTTGACAAACAGATCTGGTGCAGACTGCAGCTGTCGGTGGATCTCCTTCAGAAGCTTTTAAAACAAACCTGCTGCTGCATTGGCACATTTTTTAAAACTTCTCAGTTTCAACTTTGTTCTGTTGTTTTTGAACAGAGTTTAAAGGATCTGATAATTATTTGTTTCAAAATTTTAAACCGATTCTATGTTTTAGCTGCTATTCCAGCTTTTCCTGTTATCTCAAACTGCCCGCTAAAATAAGAGCTTGGACAAGCTTTCCCTTGCCAAAATCAGTAGCTGTATCTGCACCAGCAATTGAAACTGTTTTCAGGTGTTGACCTTTGACCTGCAGAGAGCTTTGCTTTCGCCAGGGTTTCAGATCTCCCCTCTGTCAGTAGTTTTGTCATGAATGAACTTCTGCACGGCTGCGCCGAGTCGAACCACATTCCTGTTGTTCCTCTTCAGGCTCCGTTTCCACGCACCGCCTCGCCAATTTACACACTTACACCAGGTGAGAGCAGGCCCCAGGTGTGGTTCAGGTAACTTGGTGATGCTGCTTCATGGAAACAGAGCCTGGGGGAATTATTTTAATGTCGAGTCAGTGAGCTGGGAACACTGCCAGCAGCCTCACCTGTTCCACAGCGGCCAGATGAGTGTGCCGCTAACCTGTGCAGGTCACATTGATAGGATCTGTTCTACCCTGCCTCTGTGTGAGCTGCACCCTGTGGTGTTTCAAGTCTGACAGACTGTGTTCAAAACATTAAAGAGACATGTTCAGATTCAGAGAGGCTGACGGCTTTTTCTTCATCCTTCGATGATTCAGTTTTCCTCTGATGCGCTGAACAGCATCTAATCTGTCTGATCCCTCCAATCGGCCAACGCCTCATTCCAAAACCACACAGCTCTGCATATGGAGGCCCATTTCTGGCACAATGACACTGACTCATGGGACAGAGTCACCAAGTTTAATAGCAATACTGTAATCTAAACAAACAGCTCATTTCTAGAAAGATCTGACATTTAGGAACGATTTGTTAAGAATAAAGTCATAAGCACACAAATCCTCATTAACATTACTTACATTTTAAATCTGGTGTCAGCAAGGATAGCAAGCTATAGCCTGAACCCACAGACTGTACAGGAGCATCTCTTTCTCTTTCTCTCACTCACACACACACACACATCCTTCCTGGATGGTCTGTTAATACAGTAACCTCACAGTAGTCACATGACGCCATTAAAAATGCTCCAAAAGGCTCCAACAGCACAAACACAGTCCAGCGGTCCAGTTAGCAGACAGCTAACAACTACAC